TTTGCTGTGCAGTTCTGTAATGAGGTGGGGAAAAGCTTTCTTTTAGACAATTAGGCTATTACAAGACCCAAGAACAGCCTTCTCCTACTGGAATAGAAGCTTCAGCGTGCTGCACTTTGGCCAGCTGTAGTGGTTTAAAGCACCAAGCTAGAAAAACTGGGAGATCCAGGTTCAACCGCCCCCCCGTGCTGCTCTGGAATTTTTTTGGGTGACCTTGAGCCCATCACTCTGTCCTGGCCTACCTCATAGGTTTGTTGTTCTGAAGATATAATGAAGAAGGGGAGAACAATGTTTGCAAACGGTGAGAGTACAAATTAAGCACTAAGTTCAAATTAAAAGGGGGGGGGGAAGCCTGTGATTTTTTAAAAGCCCAGGAAATAAAGATGCAAATCTCGTCATTCAGGTCTCTTTGATTTAGAAAATGACCTTGCTGCCTCTCCAGAGACTTGCTCAAGGCAGCTCAAAAAGTAAAGCATGATAAAAGACCATAAATACAGCACACAATCGTTACCATTAACAAGCCACCACCCCCAAAGATGAAAAACATACCTAGGCCTCTCTGGAAAATCCCAAACACAAACTGAATGAAATAGCAACTAATTAAGTCAAGAGACTGGCATATAACAAGGGTGGAGACTGCAGAAGAGCATCTGTATAGTTTATGCTGCATAATGTTAACAGGCCTTTCTAGCTGCATTTTCTTTAATGTCTCAAGTAATACGTTAAGTCAATCATCTTTACAACATTTATGTAATATGTAAGTCACTCATCTTTAAAACATATTGGTCCAGACAAGGTCATAAAGGGATAGAAAGAACAAATATATGTATTTGTTTTTACCAGGACAACCAGGAGCCCTATTGATTTTTCCAGTAAGCTTGTGCTGTCAGCAATCCCTTTTATGTCCCTTCAATGCACCCGTTTTGGTAAGGATAGATTTTCGTAGCAATGCCTTTTGCCGGGAATAAAAAAGGTGATGCCATCTCTGCAGACATGATCATTAAGCAGCGTTTGGTCTGTGATGAGACCCTCCTCTTCTTTGAGTCAAAACAATGCCACTTACGTTAAAATAGGAGACAAGGTTGTCTGACGGCTCGTCACTTGCAGAGTTTAAAATCATCATTAACTGCTGAATAGTATTCATGGCAGCCCTAGAGTAGGGAAATCGGGTTTGTCATAATTTTCTGAAATGAACACGGCGCTTTTGAAAAGAAAATTCATCTGATTTAAAAAAAAATACATGACAGCTATATTTTAACAGCGTTACAAACGTATCTGCTACTTTCTCTACATTAACATGATTAGCCAGCTCAGAAGCATTTCAACAATCCGTGTTGTCATGTACTAAAGGGTGTTGTGGTGGCAACAGAGGGGTGGAGAAGAACCCTCTGGAACCCACTGCCTTAGCTGAAGTTATGGAATATGCACAAGCATTCTTTTTGCTGACAAAAGATGCCAGCAACAGAATGTTGAGCCTTCCCGTTCAGTTTACAAGAGCAGACTGTAGCGGTTCAACTGAAAACAGGATTAACATCAGGTGGAAAATTTTATATAACAGCATCATACGAACTTAAGAAGAGCCCTACTGGATCACACCAATGGTCCACCTGGCTCAGCATCCTGTCTCATACAGTGGCCAACCGTCTAGTCATAGAGGCCAAGGCCTTCCCCTGATGTTGCCTCCTGGCTCTGGGATTCAGAGGCTTAGTGCCTCTGAATGTGGAGCTTCCCCTCAGTCACCATGGCTACAGACCTATCTTTCATTAATCTATTGAACCCCCTTTTCCAAGCTGTTTATTCCTGTGGCCATCATGACGTCCTCTGGCAGCAAATTCCACATTTTAATCACTCTCATGTTTAAGATGGGCCTCAGAACTGGAGGTCCACAACACTGTGCATTATTGAACCCTGACTTCAGCTACAGCTCTTAGAAACGACATACAAATATAAAGCTTCAGATAAAATTAAAAACTAGCAACGTTTAAATAATTCTTACCGGACAGGGGTCTGTTGAAGCACACCTGAAGGATCTTCATCTGGGTTATTTTTTGTTGGTGTTCTCTCCAACTGCAAACTTAACAAATATATATATATAGCTTCAACCGAATGTAAACAAAGACCTCACATTTATTTTCCAAATAAAATTTCTAAACAGGTTTGTTTCCTGTTTTCCAGGAAAGGCTAATGCTTTTCCATGCTTTCCCCCTGGCCAGGTTCCCTGTATGTTCTGGAAATGGAATTCCCTCCTCTCTTCACCTCCTCTCATCACCAGTTCTTGTTTTGATACAGAACCTACTTTTCCTCCAAAAGGCACTTTGATGTTCTTTGGTCATTTTTTTACTCTTTCTCAGACTTTTAAAGAAAAATAACTTGAGTGAGAAAACATTGATGTCCTTCTATCGCTGCTCAATAGAGAGCATTTTAACATTCTGTGCCTGTGCCTGGTTTGCCAGTTGTATGGCTGTGGACAGGAAAGCACTCCAGAGAGTTATCATCACAGCCCAGAAGATCATTGGCTGCCCCCTCCCATTCCTGGAGGAATTGTATAGTTCTCAATGTTTGAAAAAAGCAAAGAACATTCTGCAGGATTTGTCACATCCTGGACATTCCCTGTTTGAACTGCTGCCTTTGGGCAGAAGATATAGGACAATTAAAACAAGGACAAACAGATTAAAAATAGTTTTTATTCGAGAGCTATTACTACCTTAAATGCTGTATGAAATTGGAAATTGGGTGACATTAGTGGTTTTAAGTTGCTATGTGAACCTTAAGGGAGTTATGAGATAGTTGTGAATGGTTGTGTGTGTATATGAATATTGTTGTAGATCACCGAAATGATTGCATCTTAATTTCGTTGTACTATGTACAATGACAATAAAGTATATTACTACTATTACTATTTCTACTAAAAACAAGAGATGCTATAATCCGCATGGTTCTGCTCACTCTCATCTTCTTTAACCTACCCCAGATGTGACTCGGCGCTGCAATGTGAAATCATGCAACTAGAAAGAATCAAACAAATGCATTCAAGTAAAGGGAAATCCGTTCTATCAAACCTTCAGAATTTCAGTCCTTGGAATAATCAAATCCGACGGACAGTTTGTGGGACACTGTGGGAGGAGGGGGAAGGCCAGAGGGAACTCCTACAGGCCTCATAATCTTAGCAGTTTAGGAAGGACTAAAACATGATTGCTTAGCTGGAAAAATGCCAATGGGTCTCTGGATTTGAGGCACATTCCAATCCACTAGCATTTTCATGACATTTCAACCCACATTTCTTCCCTTTATACAGCTCAATATACATATGCATAACACCCTTACATCCTTAGAGATACTGACAGGCATCCTACTCCTCTGGCTCAGCATAGTCTGAAGCCTTCCTCGAACTGAACGGCTCTTCTTTCAGCGGAAAAGCCACTAGGGTGGGAAGAAGGCACCTGGATTCTTCCACCTTAGAACTGAGTTCCTCCCCCTTAGGCTGGAGGAATGCTTCAAACTTTGCTGAGTGGTAAGATACAGGTCAGTTCTTGTCAAACATCTGTGAATTAGATCCAGGGTGAGAATTCACAGAAACAGTTGCTGGGAAAGTCCTCTCTGAGGATCAAGCAGAGCCTTGCAAGCAAAATCCATCATGCAACACAAATTTGTAAATTTTATCATCATATAGTGCTTCATCATCATATAGAGCTGCGGTGGCTCAAGGGGTTAAGACGGTGAACTGCAGCTGAACTGCAGGCTGTGGAAGGTCGGTAGTTCAGCAGTTCGAGACCTGGGTGCCGCATGATGGAGTGAGCTCCCGTCTCTAGTTCCAGCTCCTGCCAACCTAGCAGTTCGAAAGCAAGAAATTGCAAGTAGATAAATAGGTACCACTTCGGTGGGAAGGTAACAGCATTCCGTGCGCCTCGGCGTCTAGTCATGCCGGCCACATGTCCACGGAAACGTCTTCGGACAGCGCTGGCTCTTCGGCTTTGAAACGGAGATGAGCACCACATCCCTAGAGTTGGATTCGACTGGCTTTCGAGCAAGGGAGACCTTTACCTTTTAGTGCTTCTCAAACCAGTTCATAATTTTCATCTCATTGGTTGACAGAACAGCCCTACTTTTGGCTGAAGGATTATGACTCAGCAGCAGAGCATCTGCTTTGCATGCAGAACACCCCAGGTTTAACTCCTGGCATCTCCCTTTAAAAAGGATCAGGTCGTGGTGAAAGACCTCTGTGCCTGTGATCCTGGACAGCCACTGTCCATCAGAACAGATAAAACTGACCTCGACCGACCAATGGCACAAGACAGCTTCACGTGTTCTACAAAAACGTGATAACGCCCCAAAACAATTTTTTTTTACCATTCTGTGTGATTTTGTAAAGTTTCATCGTTCTCCAGAAACAACCTAGCATCGATATCCTTGTTTCTCAGATACATTTCTTCGTATTTGCTTGATATATTCTCAACCTTTGGTTTTCCAAAACAACAATTTAAAAAAAAAATCAATACTGATGAAACATTATTCCTGCTACAAACATTCATTCTCGAAAGTGATTCTATTTAACACATTTCAGTTAGCTTAAACAAAAAGCGTTCATAAACCTGTAAATCCATCTGGCTGACTACTTTATCTAACACTCAGATTAGTTTACATTCAGCATTTTAAATAAACTATGGCTACTTGAAAACTTATCAAAACATAGGGAGTGTATAGAGAGTATATAGTTATCAGAAGCAGAACTAGGGGGTTAATTGAAAACATCTTTAAAGATATTATTTTATTCTCATATTACCTCTGGAAGTCCACTGGAAGCTGTAATACCCACTGAATTCAAGAATGGAATAAAACTAGTGAAGTAAACATTTTTCACCTAAAAAAAGCAAATCAGCAGAAAATCAGCACTATGGAGAGTTCCCTTTTATTCCTATTACTTCCATGCACAATACAGTGAAATGAACGTTTGGCACTGATATGTTCAGAAATTCTAAGAAACTACCACCAGCATGGAAGTGCCTCATGTAGTCATGCTTTGAAACACTGCACTGTTTGTACGCCCCACCCTGTGAAAGACTTTAAAAGGTGCTTTTTGTTTTGAGAACTGAATTCAGGACACCACTCAATGGCACCCTTACTGTCCCTAACGAACGGGAAACGAGGCAAAAGTTTCAAACCACTGCACAAACTTTTTTTATTTAAAAGATTTGCATCCTGCCTCTTAGACAAAAAAAAAACCCCTGGCTTAGAAAATGCAGAAGGCAATGAAATGTTAAATATCAACCATCCAAAGCATCCTATAAATATTACATTCAGAGCTGCATGAGAGAACCCCCCACCAACCCACTTAGAAAATGAAAACTAACAAAAAAACTGGGGCATACAAGCAGGTTTAAGCTTGCACCTAAAACGGCCCAAGTGAAGTGCCAGACAAATGGCAGTGGGATGGGTATTCTGTATGAGAGAGGGGCCACAACCGAAAGGGTGCTGTCTCTGGGCGATCACTTCAGAGGCTACTGGCACACAGAGTGGGGCCTTAGTAGAAGGTATTCGTCCTCAGGCAGGATCATTTAGGAGTAAGGCTACCCTTAGCTATCCCAATCCCAGATTACATACAATCTTTAAAGGTAAGACCAGAGCTCTGAATTGTACACAGAAGCCAATACTCATTTATGTAGCATCACAATTAAACAGCTACAATACAAAACTGGCACTAATTTTACAAGCTCTACTTGGCCACTAGCTGAAATGTTAAGAGGGCACGGAACTTTAACGTTACCTATTTTACAGAGAGAGGCAGTCCGTTGAATGCTGACAAAGAGTATAGCTTCTCTGAATAACAGAAGAGCCCAGTTCTAGTGAGACAAGTACTTCCTATGTACAGGAGAATCTGCACTCTACTGGCAGTAACAGCAGGAAAAAGGCAGGGATGGTGGATCTAGGCAAGGGGTCCTGGAAGTGTTACTGGCAAGGATAGGAGAGGAACATATAGAGGAAAATGCCAGATGAGGCAGGGAATTGAAGAAAGAAGGGGATGCAACAACACTGAAGTGTTTCTCTAGTTTTAAACAAAATAGTCCTGGCAACAGTGGAAGAAAACAGAACAGCACTTCAAAAATTTAGCTGGTCTTACCTCATCCAAATTACAATCATGTTCCTTGCAAAGTTCCTCAATAACCTTTATATCTGTATCTGTTTGTTTTGATGCACGCATACTTCTGTTCTGACGTCTAGGAGTTCGTGTTAAGCTATTAGCAGACAAGGCACTCACGGTAGATTCTAGGATAAGAAAGCAAGTGTTGGTCCACCATACATCATCATAATGGGCTGCAATCTACCATGCCATGCAGCTAATGGCAATATATCCTGTCATAGAATCATAGTGTTAGAAGGAACCACCAGGGTCATCTAGTCCAACCCCCTGCACAGTGCAGGAAATTCACAAATACCTCCCACCCACACAACCCCAGTGACCCCTGTTCCATGCCCAGAAGATGACAAAAATCCTCTAGGATTTCCAGCCAAATTGGCCTAGAGAAAAACTGCTTCCTTCCTGTCAGTTGAAGGATCTTTGCACCAAAGGAATGCATCACCATTAGCTATATGGGGTGATAGGATGTCAAAATGCTTCCTTCTCTTCTGTCCAATGCTTCTTTAAAACACATTCTTTGGATTAACCCAACCGCATCTGTGCATATCCCAATTACACTTTTCTTCTCTCAAACTACTGAAATCAAGAGACTTTAAAAAAATATATCTGGATATTGGTTTTTTAATCTCTCCCCCCAATACTTTCAGCAATCATTCTATGCCCCTGTTTCAGTTTCATATTTGTGTTCACTGCTGGTCTTTCCAGTGATACAGAGTTACAGACGAGTCTCTCTGTGGATAATTATTGTTTGTTTGGTGGAATGAGAACAGAGCAATGGGGAAGTTCTAAAGTTCTCCAGAGAGAACACAACTAAGACTTGACAAAGGGAGCATTGACTCTTGAAAGCTTAAACCCCCAAAATCTCAAATCTAGCTGGACTCAAATCTAGCTGTTCTACTGCAGATTAACACAGCTTCCCTCTGAAACACCACTAGCGTTACGTAGGTACTGTAAGAATGCCACTACTATAATATTCATCAGTTTCCTGGCATATGGCAGTAATGCCTTACAACCAAATAAGCTCAGAATGGTCTGGAGGTGCAGAAGGAAAGAACAAGTGATGTAGCAGAGAAAAACTGGGTTAACTCCAACATCCTGTCACAGTCTGGAATACTGTTACGAAGGATGCCAGGCAAAACACACTAAATTTCTTGACCACTTTTGATGAACAGGCACATCAGTTTCTAGACTATTCTCTTCATTTAAAAAAAAAAAGATTAAATTTTTACTGTATGGTTCCTTGAGTACGGCAGGAGGCAACAGCTTGATAAAATAATCAAGAACGCAAAGTAGTAGCTGGAAGGAGATGACCAGATCGTCTTCTATCTGCAACACTTTCCCTGAAAATGGTAAGAGGACAATGTGTTAACTGGGCAACCACTGCACAATTATCAGCACATCTCCCTTATAAATAATAGCCGAATGGTGGTGGCACTTCTCTAGAACATTCCACCTGTTCCATACCCAGAAGATGACAAAAATCCTCTAGGATTTCCAGCCAAACTGGCCTGGAGAAAAACTGCTTCCTTCCTGTCAGTTGAAGGATCTTTGCACCAAAGGAATGCATCACCATTAGCTATATGGGGTGATAGGATGTCAAAATGCTTCCTTCTCTTCTGTCCAATGGTTCTTAAAAACACATTCTTTGGATTAACCCAACCGCATCTGTGCATATCCCAATTACACTTTTCTTCTCTCAAACTACTGAAATCAAGAGACTTTAAAAAAATATATCTGGATATTGGTTTTTTAATCTCTCCCCCCAATACTTTCAGCAATCATTCTATGCCCCTGTTTCAGTTTCATATTTGTGATCACTGCTGGTCTTTCCAGTGATACAGAGTTACAGACGAGTCTCTCTGTGGATAATTATTGTTTGTTTGGTGGAATGAGAACAGAGCAATGGGGAAGTTCTAAAGTTCTCCAGAGAGAACACAACTAAGACTTGACAAAGGGAGCATTGACTCTTGAAAGCTTAAACCCCCAAAATCTCAAATCTAGCTGGACTCAAATCTAGCTGTTCTACTGCAGATTAACACGGCTTCCCTCTGAAACACCACCAGTGTTACGTAGGTACTGTAAGAAGGCCACTACTATAATATTCTTCAGTTTCCTGGCATATGGCAGTAATGCCTTACAACCAAATAAGCTCAGAATGGTCTGGAGGTGCAGAAGGAAAGAACAAGTGATGTAGCAGAGAAAAACTGGGTTAACTCCAACATCCTGTCACAGTCTGGAATACTTTTACGAAGCATGCCAGGCAAAACACACTAAATTTCTTGACCACTTTTGATGAACAGGCACATCAGTTTCTAGACTATTCTCTTCATTTTTAAAAAAAGATTAAATTTTTACTGTATGGTTCCTTGAGTACGGCAGGAGGCAACAGCTTGATAAAATAATCAAGAACGCAAAGTAGTAGCTGGAAGGAGATGACCAGATCGTCTTCTATCTGCAACACTTTCCCTGAAAATGGTAATAGGACAATGTGTTAACTGGGCAACCATTGCACAATTATCAGCACATCTGTAATATTTCACACCGGTACGTTGGGTTGGACACAAAAAACAAAGAAGCAGAGCTCTGCTCCTCGATCTTATCTTTCTCACCTCACCTTGTCTTCTGCAGCCCCCTGCACTACTTTGGAAAGCTGCTCCTGAGGGCCAGAGCACCCTCAGAAAACAGGACGAGATGCAAGGCAGGGGGCTTGCAATGCAAGCTGGAGATACATACATATATGTATGTATGTTGCGGGACCCCATCCTTTGGCTCTAACCCATAATGCTCAGGAATAAAGAAAACCCTAAGCTGCGGTGGCTCAAGTGGTTAAAACGCTGAACTGCAGGCTGTGGAAGGTCAGTAGTTTAGCAGTTCGAGACCCGAGTGTGCCGCATGACGGAGTGAGCTCCCGTCTCTAGTTCCAGCTCCTGTCAACCAAGCAGTTCGAAAGCAAGAAATTGCAAGTAGATAAATAGGGACCACTTCGGTGGGAAGGTAAAGGGCATTCCGTGTGCCTTGGTGTTTAGTCATGCCGGCCACATGACCACGGAAACATCTTCTTACAGCGCTGGCTCTTCGGCTTTGAAACGGAGATGAGCACTGCAACCCTAGAGTCGGACTCGACTGGCTTTCGAGCAAGGGAACCTTTACCTTTAAGCCCCACTAGGAAATGGCTACGGTTGGATCTCACTGAACTGTAAATGCAACGATCTTGAAGAGAGACGTTTTGCCATGTTCCTCTCCCCTCCACCACCATCTGCTCCTTCCTGCCTCCAAAACGCCATTCTCGAAAGTCTCCTGACTTTTAGAAAAAAATTGGGATGCAGCTGCAGGGGAGTGAAAATCAACAAAAACACCTCCGACCCGTTGCTTGCAAGAAGGCTCGGCAGTGGCTTTGCAAGACCCCCCCCAGGGGCCAGTGAAAAGAGGGAGATGGCAAAAAACTGATCTGTGAATGCGTTCCATTCAACAAGATATAAACAGAAGGCATAACACGCTGTATATAGCAGATGACTATATATTTTTGTTTCATTTGATGAAACAAACATCAAATGGTAACTTGAATTTTCAGGAAACAGCACATGCTCTTCCCAGGCAAAGCTCTTTACAGAACTAACATTGCAATACTAAGCATGTTTTGCTAGGGAATACACCACACTTATCTCACTGGGACCTCAGAGAAAATAGCGTCCTGCTGCAGACCTCCCCAGATTCGAGACACTCTCAGAAGGTCTTTCATCAGTTTTAATCACCCAGCCTCTCACATGTCATTCTGGTAAAGATTTATCATGCGTTTACTAGCAACACCAGGCATAATGCAAAGGAGCAAAAAAGCTCTAGCCTAAGACCAGCTGGTGATAACCCTTTAATTTAAACTGCCCTCTTTAGCGTGAAGCCACCACTATGTTCATCTTGGTCAGAATCAAACCAAAATTTTCAGCATTACAACTCTGTGTATTACAGCATCATCTTAAAACTGCAAAAATATTATTCTTAAAGCTTTCTCCCTCGCCCCCAAAGCTGGATTTCTGAAACAACTAAAAGAACAATTAAGTTATCATTGTCATTCATTTTTTCCCCCTTGGCATACAAGGGAAAGTACTATGTAATACCAAGAAATCTGAATAACTTCTATGAATCCAAAACAGTAATGAACCAAAGTAGACTAAGCATAGAGAATGAAAGTTCCATTAGCATACAGTATGTATTGTTAATTGTAAAATTATAACTACCCTTTGTAGCAGTCAAACGAACAAACCTAAGCATTCTGCCACTTACCTTTTGCCAAAAGAAATGTGATCCAGCATAATTTCAGAACTAATGAAGAACTTCGTTCGGATGAATTTCTACAAACAGAATACAAGAAAACTGTAGTGAATACAAACAGAATACAAGTGTTACAGAAAGGAGAAAGTGTGACAACCTTTTGCCTCTTGAAGCAATCCAGACTCACACTAACCTAGGCTGGCAGCAAGAACGTACATCTCTAACAGCAACTGCACTGGCCTCCATCTAACAATCTGCCACTCTTCTTGAATCCATACCTGGGTTTCTTGAATCCATACCTGGGTTTCTTAATGCATCAGCAGAGTGTAAAGATTTAAAAAACTATTTTACTAGTACTTTATTATTTCCTGCAGCTGGTGTCCACACCCCACAAATCTTGACCACAATTATTTCCATGCAAGTCCCATTCATTTTAGTTGACAGTTGCATTGGACTTAGGATCACGGCCCAAGGTTTTTCTTTTTAAAATTAAAATGAAAATACAGCTTTCACTATAATACTGAACACACCAGCTTCTCATCTGCCCATTACCTACTGCTAGCACTGTGAAACTTGTACACAAGCTCTTATTCATTTCTATATATTGTACAAACCAAACTTACTGATCACTAGGCTGGTCAACGTAGATCTGTCCCCAAGTCCTAGAAACAAAAAGATCATGCACATCACTGGGCAATACCTTTCCAAATCCGTAGGGTGCTTTTTAAAAAATAAATCAGTAAATACACACACGACATGTTAAAATCTTTCACACTTTAAAGAAATGTTCCACCTCCTGGGAAAAAGAAAACAAGCTGACCAGAGGGAACAAATGAAGAACAGCTGTTTGTTAGCAAGAAGCAAATATGGAACAACAGAATATCAGCCTTCTTCATTACATCCATTAACATTCCAGGCCTAACACAAAAACAAAGCTGAATTGAATAAACCTGCCTTCAAATGAACATGCTCAAGAACAGAAACAACAACAAAAAATGGAATGATGGTTAAAAGACTCATCTGCATACTGCAAGACATTAGTCTACAGAAAGTTAAGTCTACAGACATTACTAGTTCTCAGAAACTTAATAACCCAAATTGTTTACATCCCTGGTGGAGAATACAAGCATTTGACAGATGCTAAAGCCCTGAGCAGACTGTTACCATATATGAATTGTGAACTGGCTTTCTCTAGCAATACCACCATTATGGAGCTGTCACAATTTGGGCACTGACTTTTAGAACATCCAGAAAAGGTTGTCAAGGATTTTGTGCTGCTGCAGCCAAAGACACAGACTGGCATTGTATAGAAATTATGCAAAGAGACTGAACCAAATACAAATATCTCCTGAGTCACAGACAGCCACAGCCGTGACCAGGTGTGCGCATCAGTTATTCCAGCTGAACAAGCTGACTCCCAAGGAAGACATTAAGGTGTTTTGCTATACATTTGCACCCACAAACTTTGTAACCATACTCTGGATTGGTTGCTAGTGATGTCAAGCAACCTTCTAACTTCCACTGTGATAACTTTTCCCTTAAATATAAGTATTTTAAAAGGTCAGACTTCAGTTACACAGCTGAACTCAACCTGGGGCTGATGATGGCCAATCCCAAAATGCTGCTCCACAACCATTTCCACTCCGCTTTACAAATGGTTAACAGGGCTCGAATCCAAAGCTAGATTACTTGCCAGTTTTAAAAATGTCAACTCTCATTAAGCTGGGAAGTAGAAAAGCAATTTGTAGATCACTTTATTTTGCAAGGGCACGATATTCTGATATTGTTCAAGTATATCTGCTAAAACCTGAGTTATTTAAGTCTGTATCATTTGATAAGCTCTATTCTTGGAGCTCCTTCCTCTAAGAAGTTTTGAGTGCCCTAAACCTTCCCAATGACGCAGGTGAAGCGTGAAGAGAGGTGATGATTGCCCACACCATTATCTGCAAAGGTAGATTTCTGAAACTACTGTCAGGTAACATTTTTGGAATCTTTTCAAGCTATGTCTGAATTGCCAGATGCGAACTGATTTGCCACGTCTCAGCTCTCAAGACAGAAAGCAAAAGGTTTTCATTATTACAACCCCCCTTTCAAGTACTTGGCTAAGCAAGCAGCAAGACTTCTTCTTACAAAAAAAAAAAAAAAAGACTTCTATTCTAATAGTATGTGATAAACCAACCATGCTTTACCTTTCTAACTTCTGGTATAGTGCAAACAATACGTCATATTTCTTCTTCAGGCGTAATACAATACTACCCACTTTAGTACTTATTGTGTCCATTGTATCATCCATTTCTTCAATCCGATTGACAAATTTGCATATGCTACAAGGAGAGGGACAAAAGGCAAAACCTTTAATTTTTAAACAGTTGATTTCAGACTTGTCTGACACACCTTCAGATTCAGAGGCAATGACTCACTGTAATGTAATTAAGAAACATAATGTTGCACCCAACCAGCAACAACATGCAATTATCTGCAACAGCGCAGCTCACTGAACTACTATGAACATTCCTTGGGCAAAGCCCAGCTCAATCAGTGAAGGCTTTGGGCGAAGTAAGGTACAAACCCAGTGACAGCAATTCACAAAGCAAACAATATTTTAATAAGCTTAGATTGTCGTTACAAAATCTACTGACAGAAGGCATTTCAACTACAGAAGAGTGAGACAGACAGCAATTTTAGCCAATTATCCCCTCTGTCTGCAGACACTTGGTTGGATACAGTGACCTGCAGACACCAAGTATCACGGACTTTTCCTGTGTTCCCACCCCACAGAAGTCTTCTGACTACAGACAGATTTGGATGAAGGAATACAGGGAATGCTTATTAAATTTGCAGATGATACTAAAGTGGGAGGGGTAGCAAATACAGTACAAGACAGAGTCAGGATATGGGATGATCCTGACAGGCTAGAAAACTGGGCTAAAACAAATAAAATGAATTTCAGTGGGGATAAATGTAAAGTTTTGCATTTAGGTAGGAAAAATCAAATGCATAATTATAGGATGGGGGAGACTTGTCTGGGCAGTAATATGTGCAAAAAGGATCTAGGGATCTTAGTAGACCATACATTGAACATGAGTCAGCAGTGTGATGTGGTAACAAAAAAGGCAAATGTGATTTTGGGCTGTATCAACAGAAGTATAGTGTCCAGATCATGCAAAGTGATGGTATTGCTTTACTCTGCTCTGGTTAAGACCTCACTTGGAGTACGGTGTTCAGTTTTGGGCACCACAATTTAAGAAGAATATAGACAAGCTGGAACGTGTCCGGAGGAGGGCAAGTCCTATGAGGAAAAGCTGAAGGAGTTGGGTATGTTGAGCCTGAAGAGGAGACGACTGAGAGGTGATACGATAACCATCTTCAAGTACTTGAAGGGCTGTCATATAGTGGATGGTACGGAGTTGTTTTCTGTTGCCTCAGGAGGTCAGACCAGAACCAACGGCTTGAAATTAAATTAAAAGAGTTTTCGGCTAAACATTAGGAAGAATTTCCTGACTGTTAGTGCGGTTCCTCAGTGGGACAGACTTCCTTGGGAGGTGGTGGGCTCTCCTCCTTTGGAGGTTTTCAAGCAGAGGCTAGATGGCCATCTGACAGCAATGCTGATTCTGTGAACTTAGGCAGATCATGAGAGGGAGGGCAGGAAGGGTTGCATCAATGCTTTAGTTCTCATGGCCCTTTCTTACACACTCAAGGAAATGCTGATTGCCACTTTGGGGTAAGGAAGCAATTTTTCTTCAGGACAGTTTGGCTGGAGATCCTGGAGGGTTTTTTTTTTTTTTGTCATCTTCTGGCCATAGAACAGGGGTCACTGTAAATTTCCTGCATTGTGCAGGGGATTGGACTAGATGATCCTGGAGGTCCCTTCCAACTCTATGATTCTATACAGGAAAGTGTGTTCCCAGGGTTGGGGGACAAATGTGGATACACAGAACTTCCGCAGAAGGAAGGGGGCAATACTGATGGGAGCTCCACTGATGAAAGAGGTAGAAGGGGCAATTTTGTCCCCTTCTCCCTCCACTGCAACTTCCCAGCCCATGTGGCTATTAGTCCACGTGAATCTCCTGCAACCTGGTAACAGACATTCCCAGGGGGTGGAAAGGACTGCTGAGAGGACAGGGACCATGAGACAGTCTGGGGGATCCAACCCTCCGTGCTGCTAGGTAGGACCTACTGAGCACCAGTTGGCACAATTTCATGGGACACAGCAGGAGGCTGGGAAGCCCGTTTCCTGCTGTGCCAGGATCTACGTCTTAGATTTTCGTGTTACCATACAAATACTGTACCGTCTATTTAATTGCACGACCTTAACCACCAAAAACCTACCTAATACTCAGACATTTCAGAAGTTCTGTAAACGTGAAGGTCATCTCGTCCAAGTCAGCTGCTGCAGCAAAAATACAGATCCCCCACAGCTCTTTTTTAAGATGGCCTTCCTGGAAGAAAAACATTTCCATGCGCACTGTAAGTTATCTGCAGAATACGGCAGTCAGCATTGATCTGATGCATTAAAACGTAAATGCCTTTCTCCTTGGGCCCTTATGTCTGCACACCTGCAGGCACAGAAGAGACTGCACTTCAATAAGAAATAATCCAGTGACTGCAGTCTTGGACTTCCACATGATGCCTTGTCTTTTATGGGGTGGGGTAGGGTGGAAGGCAAGATGTATTCCCTCTGGCTAGTCACTCTAGCATGGAAACTAAGGGGTTCTACCCCATGAAGTGCCAACTGGAGGAATGTAGATTTCCCCCTCCCTCATCTTCCTCCCCAGCCTGCAGCAGCTTTTGACTCCCAGAAAGATTATTTCAGGAGTTGTTGGGTATCTGTGAGCAGAAAAGAATATGGGTTAGGGGGCTGCCATGAGGAGGAAATATGTTAACTTGCTCCCTCCTTCTATCAGCAGAGTGGCGTTGACCAAACAGCAAAAGGTCTCAAGTCGGGTAGTTTTAAAATTTTTCTTATTGAGAATGTTGTGTATACTTTGATTGTTGATTCTCTATTTTAAGGCCCCGGTCACACGGGCCGGATATTGCGGGGGGGAGGCATGGCTGTTCGCCCCGGGGCAAAATAACGTCCGGTTGCGCGATCAGACGTCCCGTGGAGGTTCCGTGGGTAGGGGGGAGGTGCCGATCACAGGACAATCCTGCGGCGCGGCAAAGAAGCAGCGCGGTGTGGCAAACGGGTTTGTTTTTTTCTGTACACCAAAGTATGCACATGCTCCGTTGGGTGCTTGTGCGCATCCATGGAGACTTGGGGGGAAAAAAACCTTTTTGCAAGGGGACATGGAGTATCCCAGATCTTAGTCCAACACTCTCACCGCTACACCATGCTGGCTCACCTCGACTGCAGATGAAAGTTTCTTAACATTCTTTTCTCCCTTTCTCACAATACAAGAACTCGTGGGTAGTCAATGAAATTGCTGAGCGGTCGGGTTAGAACAGATAAAACGAAGTACTTCTTCACCCAAAAAGTGATTTACACATGGAATTCACTGCCACAGGAGGTGGTGGCGACTACAAGCACAGACGGCTTCAAGAGGGAACTGGATAAACATATGGAGCAGAGGTCCACCAGTGGCTATTAGCCACAAGGTATAGATAGAAACTCTCAGGCTGGGGCAAGTGATGCTCTGTATTCTGGGTGCTTGGGGGGGGGCAACAGTGGGAGGGCTTCTAGTGTCCTCCTGGCCCCACTGGTGGACCTCCTGATGGCACGTGGTATTTTTGGCCACTGTGTGATGGACTAGATGGGCCATTGGCCTGATCCAACATTGGCTTCTCTTATGTTCTTAACATTTTAAGATGCCGAATACAGGCTAATGTGAATGGCCATTACGGTATTTTTTAAAAAGCCATATACTCACTATAGTTCCGCATGTACATAACACTTTTTCATACGACTGCCAAGCAATTGCTCTTATGCTGTCAGTTACCCGTAAAGCATCACACAAGGCAACAAAGTCTGTTTCGGAAAAAGGTAACCTAACAAAGAAAAACATATATATATTTAGAATATTAGGGCCCTTGCCCCTGATGTTCATACTGTGAATACAGCAAACCACATAGCATAGCAGCCACTTTAGCACACGATCTGCAGTGTTCCTACTATACAGCAAAAGAAATAAGGATTATCCAAGTACTGTACAGCTGCACTGTACGAGAACTTATATGACACAGAAAGCATGGATTCCAAAGTTTATGGTACTTTCCTACAACAGTGCAACATGGTACTCCAAAAACCTAAATATACAGACACATGCACTATTAAAAGTACACATGTCTAGAAATATGCCCTCTCCCACAGATTAAAAATATCACAGTGCAGCAAAAGTACACCTCATATGTCCATAACGTTGCTAGCAACAATAGGAGCACAACTCCTCTGCACACCCGACCAAATATCCATATGCAATGAGAGGGCGGGAGAACTGAGTGCTAAATGGTCAGCAGAGGCAATCATTTTTCAATGCTTACATTTTTTATTCATATTGTACTGGTTAATATGTTTAACTGTTCTTTAGTTCATTATGGACTTGGCTTATGTTATAAAAATGTGATTGTTATGTTTTCTTAATACTATTGTATTATACCAATAAAATGTTATTGGGGAAAAAAATAATAATGGGAAAGCTGAAGACTGCTTCCACAGATGCCTACAAAAGAGTTGGGGGCGAGCAGTTGAAAATAAGCCCTTGAGCCCCAATCTTCCTCATATGATTCCTATATTGAAACAGTGGAGCACATGCTCACCAGGAAATTTTAGCTACCGTCTGCAGCTACATGAATATATATATATATATGAAAGAGAATGTATTATTCTAAATTAAGAAATATATTTTGGGAGCTGCTTACCCCAAAGTAGGCCCCTGTTAACAAGAACAGAAAGTGCTATAGTTGATCGTTTGTTCTTCTGTCTGGTTTGGGGGGGGGGGTGTTATATTCCTTGATGTTAGATTATGTTAGTACTATCTATATTTATGTTTAACGTTTTGTTTTCTGATTGAAATGATTTTTTGTTTTAAAAAGTGTTAACATTGAGTTATATATTTAAATTTAGTTGGGTAGTTGTGTTGGTCTGAAGCAGCAGAGCAAAGTTAAGAGTCCAGTGGCACCTTTAAGACCAATAAAGTTTTATTCAAGGTAAAAGCTTTTGTGTGCAAGCACACTTCTTCAGGTACGGAACAAAGTAAGAGTCCAGTGGCACCTTTAAGACCAACAATGTTCTATTCAAAGTGTACGCTTTCGTCTGAAGAGGTCTGCTTTGCACAGGAAAGTTTACACTTTGTTCCGCTGCTTTACACCCAGGGCCGGCTCACTCACTAGGTGAACTAGGCGGTCGCCTAGAGCGGGACGGCCCTTAGGGGCACCAAACTGCACCCGGCCCCGTACTCTGGGAGTTTCTTGATTATTTGTGTTTTTCATTCTTCCTAAAATGCATTTATTTTTGAAAATTGGTGGGCGCACAGGGGGGGGCAGCAGAAGGGATCCTTGCCTAGGGTGCAAAATAAGCTGGAGCCGGCCCTGTTTACACCAACCCGGCTATCCCACATGAATTTTTTCTTCAGATACAGTGAAACAGTATCCGAAGAAGTGTGCTTGCACATGAAAGCTTATACCTTGAATAAAACTTGGTAGGTCTTGAAGGTGCCGCTGGGACTCAAATTTTGTTCTGCCACTTCAGACCAACACAACTACCCGACTAAATTCAAATATCTAACTCAGCGTTAACACTTCTTTTAAACAAAAAAAAAATCACTTCAATCAGAAAACAAACCATTAAACATAGATATAAAAATAAATATTACTAGCACAATCTAAGCTCAAGGACTATAAAACTCAAGCTCAGATTATTTAAAAACACGGCTGCTTGTGAAAGAAAAGGGAAGTGTGCAGACAGAGAGAGGCTCTGCAGAACCAGGAAATAATCCCTTGGGGGAAGGTGAGCCTTCCGAAGCCACTTCAACACGACCTGATATAGACACCAGCTGTCAAGAAACGCCCTGGAGTATTGACCATTTAATGCTGCGGCACAGCAATCCGCACAGGGCTACAAACAAAGCCACCGCGAAAACCCCTTCCCCTTACTCCTCTGTGTAGCCTCTTCCTCCCTTCCATCTTCCTCCTCCTCTGTCTCCAAAAACTCAGGGATGCCTAAACTGGGGGGGGGGTCTTTTTCTCCGCCCCAATCCAGACAAGCAGGCCAGGCTGGGCTACAAAGGTCGGGCCGAAGCCAAGACCAGTGCTCTGTCTAAGCTGCGGAGTCCTGTGAGCAAAAATTCTACTTGGTGAGCTCCTGGCATTCAAGTTGTGAGCGAGTCATTTGGCTACTGCACGAATCAGTTTGCTCCGAAAACTTGTAGTACCAACCAGTGTTCCCTCTAAGCTGAGTTAGTGTAAGGTAGCGCACAGTTTTTTAGTCTCCGGCTCACAAACTTTTGTCTTAGCTCAGGAAGGGATGGCGCCAGAGCAAACTAATTTATGCAGCAGCCAAGTCGCTCACTCACAACTTTAATGCCAGTCGCTCACAAAGTAGAATTTTTGTTCACATGGCTCCGCAGCTTAGAGGAAGCGTTGGTAGCAACACATTGGAAATCTGATAGTACACCTACCTTGCACACTTGGCATAATAAACTATGGCATGTTTACCTAATGGTAAAAAAAAATTCATGTTCTGTAAAACATCCATGTTTAGAAAAGAGTAAATCGCTATTTTCAACATGGTCACCTACTCTTGAACACTTGCGACAACAAGGAGAGATCCCAGGAGGTACGATCGAAATGAACTCAGAATATTGAGACTAGGCACGGCGACATACCTAAAGACTACAGTCCCTGTTAATCTGACAACAGAACATTCTTATTCCTAATTTGATATAATTTTTTTGAGGTCGGTGTTCCGACCTGCTTTGTACTGTATTTCACTGCTGTTTATAGTTCCTTCTTATATTATAAAAATAATAAATGACATTTGAGGGAGGGGGGGGGGAAATTAGCTTGCTCCGGAGCCATCCCTTCCTGGGCCAAGACAAAGATCTGCGAGCCGGAGGCTAGACAACTGTGGGTTGGCTCACACTCGCTCCGCTTAGGGGGAACGCGGGCCAAAAAGACCCCCGGCCGGGGGCTGCTGCCCGGATCTCGAAGTCCCACCCGGCTGTCACCGAGCCCCCCACAAAACCCTCGCGGCCCCCTCCCCACGACGGCCGCCCTCCCTCCTCCGACACGCAGGCTGACCTGTCAGGGGCCGGCGGCGACGGGGCGACGTCCCCCGCTGGGAGAGCCGGGCAGGCGCCCTGGCTGGCCGAGGCGGCCTCCGCTTTCTCCCCACGCCCCCCCCTTCCTGAGCTTCACGTCACTTCCTGTTTCTTTCCCGGAGGACGCGGCAGGTGGGAGGGCCCTTCGCCCCCTAGAGGTAGGGGAGACGCCGCCGGGGGTTGCGCTCGCCACTTCCGGTCTGGGATCGGACGCTTCTTCTCGCCCTCAAGGTTTATGCAGTGCCGGATTTACGCATAAACTAAATAAGCTACAGCTTAGGGCCTCGCAATCTGCTGGGGCCTCGAATAAAAACACAATATAAAAAATGATTGCAAATACTAAAAAGGTGTCTATATTTTAATTTTTTCTGAGACCAGCTGATGTAATTTAAAACAGGAGGGGGCATCTGGGCTTTGTATAGCTTAGGGCCTCAGCAAGTCTAAATCCGGCCCTGGGTTTACGAACGATGTTCTGAGTCCAGTGGCACCCTTCGAGACCGAGGAGGTTCCAGTCGAGGTATAACCTGTCGTGTGCAAGCGCCAGGGGCAGATTAACCATTAAGCAGACTAAGCGCGTGCTCCGGGATCCACAAAGTTGGGTGTAATGTATTCAGCCTGACATGCCCGGACTTGCCCGGGGCTGGCCAGGCACAATTCCTCAATAGCTTCAAGTCTAAAGACAATGGGTCTCTCGGTTACTGTAAATAGCCTATGGGAGTAGGGGGTGTGTTAGGTGAGCTTGGTGGCGGGTTTTTCTGAAGGAATATAAACCGGCCTGCGAGCCAGTCAGTTGTCTTTGTTCGGAACTAAATAAAGGTATGCTTAGCTGAAATCACTCTCCGCCTGCATACTTTTCATTGGGGAAAGGGTGAAAAGCTTAGTTTGTACAGCGTATGGTGTTATCCTATGAATAAATGTTTGTATTGCTGCAACCTGCATTGTCTATCTGGTCAGACAGGTCAACGACTAAAATGGACGGGGTCAGCGTGGAAGGGGGGGGGCACCAAGATTGGGTCAGGGCTTAGGGCACCAGTGAGCCTTCATCCGCCCCTGGCAATTGCAGTTCTTCATCATGCTTGCACGCGAACAAAGTTTGAGTCCAGTGGCACCCTTTAAGTCAAGTTTAATTCAAGCGGTATAAACGTTCTTTGTGCACGCACACTTCTTCATGCTTGCACCCCAAAGCTTATACCTTGAATTAAACTTTGTTGGACTTAAAGGCGCCACTGTTTAAAAAACAACAACAACAACCTCTTAACTAAAAGCCTGGGGGAACACCGGAACAGGCATATGCAGTGACCCACAAAACCCCCTATTGAAATCAAGGTCTCGCTGGGCATTTATTTTGCTACAATGCCCTAACATGGCTACCCCTTTGCAATCTCTTGCCAGAATGAAAAGTACGCAGACGAGAGTGAGTTCAGCAAAGCGTACTTTATTCGATCAGGAACAAGACGACTTTGGCCGGCTGGCAGGCCGGCTTATATCCCCCGAGAAACCGCCACCCAAAACACACCCCTACTTCCCTATAGGTTGTTTACAGTGGCCGAGAGTCCCATAGGCTCTCGGCCAGGAACCTAGCCCCCTGATTGGAGTGGACTAGGATCTGCATAGTCCACTGTCTCTTGGAGCGAGGCGTTTGTCTCTGGACTTGTCTGGACTGGATACATTACCCAGAAGTTGAGATTGTTCCCCGCTCTCATCTTTTTCTAGTTCTGTGGCCAACTTGCCTCAATAGTAGAAGCCCATCAATAAAGTGCTTTAATCAGAACAAGGGCGTAGCCAGTCCTTGCCTACTGGGGAAAAAAACCAGCCTCCCTGCAAAACAATAAGGAATACTTCCAACGCCAGGGCTTCTTTCCTGGCTGGCAGCTGGCCACCGCCACCCAAGCTTGCCACTGCGCTTATCCTCACAGATGTTTCCTCCTCCTGAATGCTCCACGAATTACCTACTTACTTTAAAAGTTTTTGTCCCCATCTTTCACCTGAAGCGATTCATATCAAGTTTTAAAACAGTTACAAGACGTGGGTGTTTTTTTGTTTTTTTTTTAATAATACTAAGAACCTAGAAGATTTCTATGCCACCTCCAGAGGGCCTGTTTGAAGGAAACTGCTTAAAATAATTAATTAAAAACTATTAAAAACCCAGCTAAAGCATAAAAAATAACATAAAACATATACCAATGCTCCCTCTAAGCTGCGGAGTCTTGTGAGCAAAACGTCTACTTTGTGAGTGACTGGCATTAAAATTGTGAGTGAGCGATTTGGCGACTGCATAAATTAGTTGGCTCTGGAGCCATCCTTCCTGAGCTAAGACAAAAATGTGTGAGCCGGAGGCTAAAGAACCGTGAGCTCACTCACACTAACTCAGCTTAGAGGGACACTGAGTAGCATCTTAAAAACAGTTTCCAGGCTAGAAGCAGACTGTAAAATCAATTTTAAAAGGTCACCCCCAGTGTTCCCTCTAAGATGAGTTAGTGTGAGCTAGCTCACAATTTTTTAGCCTCCGGCTCACACATTTTTGTCTTGGCTCAGGAAGGATGGCCCCAAAGCAAACTGATTTATGCAGTGACCAAATCACTCGCTCACGACTTTAATGCCAGTAGCTCACAAAGTAGAATTTTTGCTCATATGTCTCCACAGCTTAGAGGGAGCATTGGTCACCCCCTAAATTAAAAGCCTAGACCAAAGGAAACATTTGGGACTGGTGTCTTAAAGCATCAGGGGTAGCGCCTTGCTGGCATGCAGAGGGTCCCTGGTTCAGTTCCTGGTATTTCCAGTTAAAGTTATCTGGTAGTATGTGATGGGATCACTGGAGAAGACCCTGATTCTGGGAAAGATTGAAGGCCAAAGAAGACGGGGACGGCAAAGGATGAGATGGTTAGACAGTGTCATAGATGCAACGAACATGAAATTGAGCAAACTTCAGAGGACGGCAGAAGACAGGAAGGCCTGGCGTGATGTGGTCCATGGGGTCGCGAAGAGTTGGACTCGACTGTGCGACTGAACAACAACAAATGTGATGGGAAATATCTCTGCCTGAGACACTGGGTAGCTCCTGCCAGTCTGAGTAGACGATTGGCCTTGATATAGACCAGTGGCCTGATTCAAGATAAGACAGGCTCCAGGTGAGCCTTAAAGAAAGGACATTGCACAGGTGAGGTTCTACCACCACAGAAGCCCTGCCTCTTCAGACAGGAGCACAAAGAGCAGGGCTTGTAAGGAAGAGCTTAGCTGGTGGGCTATGGGTATCACCAATGTATGAAGGGAGGCAGTTTAGAACATAAGAGAAGCCAATGCTAGATCAGGCCAATGGCCCATCCAGTCCAACACTCTGGCCCCGGTCACACGGGAGGCTTTGATCCGCGAGAGGGACGGATCGGGGGTGCATCAAGCGGGCACAATCACACCGCAACATCTGGGAAGCGGCGCACCCGTCCCCGATCCGTCTCTTCCGGCCAAAGATGCGGATCAAAAACCCCCCTACAAAACACTACTACTTACCTGAAAATCCACAGTAGGGCCGGCCATGTAATCGCCGGCGCGCCTGTCTCCAGCAGCATGCGAGGCCCCCGGCCAAACTGCGCAGGCGCGCACATGCGCAGTGGGCTGCCTCGCTCACCGATCTGTGGCTTCCCCCCGAGCAACTGTGCGGCGGCGCGGGGAATCTGTCTGATCCCGTCGCCGCGCTTCTCTTTTGATGCGGCTAAAAAAAGCCGCACTTCAGCCGCACCTTTCCCCCCAGTCTGACCAGGGCCAAAGTCACACAGTGGCCAAAAATACCAGGTGCCATCAAGAGGTCCAGCAGTTCTCCCTTTGATACCAAAATGTGCTGCTTTGCAGGGCTTTTTTTCTGGGGGAATGCACTGGAATGGAGTTCCAGAACCTCTTCGACAAAATTCTTTTAAAAATGTTTAAAGGTTCTGTTATGTCTTAAGTAATAAAGCAATGTTTAGTTTAAGCATAAGCTCTATTATAACAAAGCAGAGTTTCGATTGAAGAACTAACCAATCAGAGAAGCGTATGTTTCGGCAGGAACCACTCTCATAGGTTCCAGGCCCTGCCATGCTATTGGTTGTTATCTGTTTGTTGGGTGCGGTTTACCCTGGTCCAAATCATATATAAGTCAGCTGGGGTTCTATGTATTTTATCTTTGAGGTTGTCTTGAAGTCTCTGTCTATTCTTGTGTTGTTATGAGCTGAATAAACGAAATCATGTTCATGAAGCTGCCTCGATCTCAGTTCATAACAGGTTTACGAATTTTCAGTATACAGATCGAAAACTTCATTTCCCTCTTGAGAGTTTCAGCACCTCTCTCTTTTTATTTTAAAGCCCTGCTGCTTCCTAATTACTTTTTCTTGTATTCTAGGACAGTGGTTCCAGTGGTACAGATACCACCAATGGGATGTGTAAGTAG